CAAAAAAAAAAAAAAAAAAAAAAATACAAAGCCGAGCATTGCAAGATCCTCCCGAAAAAGTAGATTCGATTTGGAAAAACACCTTTTCGAACAACGTGTACAGTTTCGAAGAAATGTTCGTGGATCGATTAGAACGAAACGTTCTATGTCCGCGTATATGAGTTTAAGCTTTACGTTTCCTGTCCCATTGATGCACGAAAACTCGTCGCACTTACTTTCGGTTTACGGCTCGACGTTTAGCACCATTTCCTTTAATTTCGAAAGTTTGTCGCGCGCACGCCCGTCCGCTATAACCAAAAAGCCCACTTTAGCACGAGTATCGCAAGAAACATGCTCTGATCATCCTCTATTCCAGACAAGTCGGTGTCGTTTGAAAAGTCAGTGTCCTTCAGTGACGAGCCACCAGACATGAATTCCCCCAAGCAGCATTCCCCGCAGCACGCAGGTAATGGTTACCGCACATTCTACGAAATTATTATACGATACTTTTTCACTAAGCACGCTCCTCTCGGAGAATCGAGTTATTCTTCAATTCTTCAATCGAAGAGAAAAAGAAAAAAGTGGAGCGGCAGATGGAAGCAGAGTTCCGTTCGAACGATTAAATCGAACGAAAGCCTGTTTCGACAATGCGGAATCATGCGGTATATAGGCATTGCAATTATCATGGGAATTATAGTAAAATCCAACTGGGTCAACGACGTCCTTAGCTTAATCGCCGGCAGATGTCCCTAGTCGACGAAGAAAATCGCTGACGATCTGTTCTTTCTCGTTACGCGGTCTGCCCGTAATTACAAATCGATCGGTAACGGTTTTGCAAACCGAGCGGATATCGGGCTCGTTCGATCCGAGCAGATTAAGGAACCGCCGATGTCGATTATCTGCAGCTCCGCCGTCTTTCTTTCTCTCAAACACCAAAGGTTAAAGATGTACTCAGAGAGAGAGATAAAAAAATATCCTTGTCGGAGTAGTTCATACTAACGCAATAATCTCTAACGACTTCTCGTGCAATGCCTTCCATCACGACTAGCGGACACAAAACCAACAAAACCGGCGATCAAATCCTCCACGTTGCCGAGGATGTCTTCGCAAGGTAAACCTGTTTCGTGTTTTTTTACGCTTCCACCAACCCTTGTGTCTCGTTACTTCCACTTGTTCTTGTGATTAACCTTATTGATCGTTCTTTCTTCTTTTTACGCCTCTGCCCCTCTCATTCCTTTTCTATTTGTTTCGTTGGGTTTTTGGTCCGCAATTGTGTGTTTAAATATCCAGATACGGTGTATTATCCAATCGTTTCTGTTTTAATCGTTCGTGCACCTAGCCAATCACCGAAGAACACGGTTCTTCCGCTTGCGTGCGAAATTTCCGACAGTGCATTCGAGAACGAGATGGTCGAAAAGCAGCATCGACAGATCCATTTTTTAAAGCAACCAACAAGTTACACGTAGTAGGGTAAATGACGCTTTTCGACGCAACTCACGGCTCGATCGCACACTGTCTATAGATGGGTGATTGTCCTGGAACTCGAGAGGATAATTCAGAGGTAAAACGTCCTATAAGACGCATGATCGTTGATCGTCCACGATACCATCGTCCATACTCGTCCATTCGTTTCTTTCGTTCCTATCCCTTTGCTGTCCTCTGCACAGCTTTCATCGCCTAGTCGCCGATAAAATGGTGACGATAAAAATGACAGCGAAATTGTACAACTGGTCACTCGCCCCTCGTTCATATACTCGTGCACCAGTCCGCCCTTTGATCGTGCGAAAGGCGTCGCATTAACGAGTGACAGATGGCGCCAGCCGCTAAATCCGGCCGGCTGACAGCGCTCCCTACCCCATCCATAAATTGAAACGCCGTGAGAGATAAGAATGTTACAAACATCATTTTTTAAATTTACTGTTAAATCTATCGTCTGCCACAGTTATTGCCACACTATCATAGTTATTTTTACGGATCATTCAATCTCATTGATCGATCGCCACTGCCCCATTTTCAATTACGTTTCTTGCTATTGGCAAATCCGATCCGATTTGACTGGATCGCAAGGTAACAAGGATCAAAGGACGATGATCAAGCTGGACGATTTTCGCACGGTTTAACGGGCGGAAATGCCAACGCTTGTGCCCGTACATGTGAGCACGATGTATCGTGCGAAATCGATGAGAAGGACGAGAAACATGATCGTTGACGCTTGACCGAATCATTTTCAGAGAGAGACAGGCACAAGCCGACACCGCCACCGAAACCGGCAGCGTTGGTAGCTGGCCAATATGTTTATCGTGACATGGCGCTGACACCGGAAATGTACAACCAGCTGCGAGGTTTGCAGAAGAAGGCGAAGGACCTCAGGCAAGAAGTTAGGAATCTGAGACGCATGTCTCAGGCCCAGGCGCACACCATACGAGAGACTATATTGGATACGTTCATCACCATCAGGTGCGCAAAATGAAACAAGTATGAGAAGAGCTATGGAACTTTCTTCAAATGTAATCCAAGTGATTTATATATAATTGGAAGAAACATTTTCATTTATTGTATATCAGACTAGTCGTTCTTTATCTTCATCATAATTACACGTGTTTTTCATTCTCGTCGTGTTCTTTTTCTACACGGAGAGCGATCCTTCCATTGCTTTCTCGTGTGTAACATATATTTATTTATTTATTGCTCGATATCTCAGGCTTACATAGTTCCAAAGCCGACCACACACTGCGTGTGGCTGCGTTCTCGAGCGCTATACACGTGTAAATTCAATGCACAAGTATGCCCAACGACCATATGGTCGGTTATATAGCCTGCGCACGGCACAAGTATACTTGAAATGAATTCTACTTATGTTTATGTGTTTCTATATAAATATGTACTACGGCCATATCTGATGCAGCCACACGTATTGTGGCATAGTCACCTCACTCCTTCTAAGTTTATATAAACTACACTACAAACGAAAAACTTACTAACCTTCACGTGTACGGTCGATTTCATTTAATTTCTCAAATATTGGATTGGCAACTAAGTGATTGCGGGTTTGTCATT